CACTTCCTTCTCTCTCTTTTTCGTTTTTGTTATTCTCCTAGGGTTTATCATCTAAATCTTCAATCTAGGGTTTGTTAATATGGGTTGTTTTCTTATCTAAAATTTTTTAACCTCATTTTTATCTGATTATAATTTCTCGATCTCATCCCAAACGAGCTAGATCTAGTAGACCCGAAACCGCTCCCGCTCCCGCTCCCGAATTTGCTAGTTATGAATGATATCTTCGTAATCCATCTTTAATTAGCAAATATCATATTTTTTATCAGTTCAAAATCTTTCCTGGGAGATTTTTGAAGTTTGAAGATTTTGCTCATTTTTAGTTGCATACATATTTTAATGATGCTAAACTACATGATTTGCTCTCTCACAATAATCGTCTTCCATATTATCCAAATCTTGTACGTCTATTTTATACAAATTTGTAACTAACTGATGTAGATACCCCTTTCATAACCTCTCTTGTCAAGAATCGTCATATTATTTTCACTGCCAATCAATTAGCTAAGATTTTTGATATTCCTTTTAGGGACATTGTCTTGAAGGATGTAGACTATATTGATGAAAATGTTGATTCTCTAATCCTCCTTCTAGGAAAACGTTTTCCTCTTTCAAATAGCTCAGTCTCTCCTCTTGGGAGAATCATTGCTCATATCATTTCTTATAACATAATTCCCAAGACCGGGGGTTATGATCATTTCTCTCAAGAGTTGACTAGTGGGGTTTATGTCATTTTAGGAAACCTTGACGTAAAATGGAGCAATGCCATTTTTGATGCCATGGCAATAAACCACACGAGATTTCTTCCTTTTGGAGCCTTACACACCAAGATTTTTCACCATTTTGAAGTTGATCTATCCGATGAGGGCCCCATTCATATTCACAATCTCTTTGACACCCTTAGCATCTCTAGGATGAATCTCCCTACTACTCTATATCAGATGGAACATCCTGATGATCCTGTAGATCCTTTCATAGATGAACCCTCTTCTCTTCCATCTAGTTCTAGAGCTCGTCCTCGTCCCCGTCCTTCTCATGCATCATCTTCCATTCCTTCCAATGCTCCGGATGATTTGATTCACCGGTTGGATAGTTTAGAGGATAGAGTGTTTACTCGCCTAGATCATATTGAGAGTAGAGCTAAAAATTGGTATGGCGAGTTGTTGAGGAGGCAAGATAAGAGTTATGCTAGAGTCGAGAGTAGGCTTGATGAGATTTTGAGGATCCAGCAATAGTTCATGGATATGCACATGTATCATCCTCCTTTGGGTCCCGGGCTATCCAATTCTTGAAGACAAAATTTCTCATTTGGTCTTGT